CCAGTATTTTCCAGATTTTCTCCAGGTAACATGTACTACTTTTAAAGTTATCTGAAATATTATCCCCCCAAACCTTTATTTTTAGAACTCCATTCAGTAAAAAATCATCTGAAGTCAGTCAATATAATCTCCTACACTCAAAATTCAAAATACAGAAAAAATAAATAGGAAATTTGCTCATGATAAAATTAGTGCATTCCTTATATTATATTATCCCTGTCTTACTTATACTAGCACTCACACCCTTGTTAAGTATATTGGGTAAATAATCTTACCGCACCTGAGTGGAAAACCATACGTTATTTTTTGCAATGATTTTTATGCCTCTCAATCCTAATGTAAGTGTTTCATATTTAGCTTCTTCTCCATTTGATGTCATGAATGCTCACAATTATGCTTTTTGTATTCAAAGTTATTGGAAACATGCTCAAATCATCTGCCATGTTCTTCTCTATGGTGTCCTTACTGCACATACCTCAAAATAATGATTCATATAACCTTTCAAAATAAGTGAAAATCTCATCCATACTAGCCGAGTTGATTTGTCATTAATCATCATCAGCATTATTCCATGAGCACTAACCAGTGTCTCTTGTTTTATATGCACTATCTTGAAACCTCATAGTAACTCTGCAAAGTGAGTATTTTTGTGCCCATTTTCCATATGAAGAAATAGAGACTCACACAGAACACTGGGTTTGCTCAAGCCTAACAGCTAGTAAACTGATGAAGCAAAACTGGGTCAATCTGGCTTCAAAAGTATCTATTCATTCTAATAAACCACACACCTTCAATNCAGTCTATTAGTGTTATTGTGTTGAGGTTAAAGATTCTTTTTCAAAAACAAATTTGTTGGTGATTTATTCCCAAACACATATACCTAAGATGTCAAAATGAAGAATGACATTCACCGGCCAGATTTCTTCGAGTCAGACATTACATTTGGGATATCTAGGAACTGGAAACCCTTAAATCTTTCCATTCAAGCTAGTATTTAACTCCTAGTGAGGTTCTACAGTCTTAAGAATAGAAGCTGAGAATTTCTTGCATGATTTTATAGCCTATCTCCAGGACAATCTACATGGGCAGACAGAATAGACAATCAAAGTGGGCCAAAAATTGAAATACTCTGTTTCTTTGTCTTCAACTCATATCATTCACACATGTACTTGAAATTGATAGTGCCCTCTTAGGTAATATAAAAAATTGTGGCTCTTGGTTCCAAACTAAGGATATTTCTTAGAACTGTGGTCTAAAATTGAAAAAGAAAAGAATTTTTTTCTTATGGCTGAGAATTTTAACATAGATTTGAGCTGCTTAGAAGGTAGGAAAGAACAGCCAAAAACAACCCCTGGAAATTATCCTTTGTGGTCCACTGACAATTAATTGTTTGAAGTGTCTCCCAAATCTTGATTGCAAATCTGGTTATGTCTGCATATGTCTGCATATGTCTTCAATGGAAAAAAAATTTCTGGCGTCTCAAAAAATCATCTTTCT